CGCGGGGCACTGCTGGACATTTCGCCCGGCTCACAAGGAATAGTTGGGTGGTGTTATTGCGGCGAGCTTCGATTCGCACCCCATGGTTCAGTAGTCTCCAAGGATATCCAAGTGGGCAGATATCGACAATATCGCTTTTGGCACCCGCGGCAGCAATGACAATGATGACTCGATCTTCACGACGGTTTCTTTTGGACGCAGAATGAAATCAAGTTTGACCCTCTTGGCACTGTGATTTTGCTAGAGGCGGACTAGGTACTTGTCGACAAGTCCGACGAACACGTGTGCGACCGACCATGGACGGATAGTGGAAGACGTGCTTGCGCGGGGTTGCACAGCTTCCGCGTCGGCATGCGTCAGTGCCCACGGTGAAACGAGATGGTGGGGGGATGTCTGAACCTCCGTGCGTTCCACGAAGCGCCATCGATTGAGAGAACAGACGCTAGCTTCAAAGCGAGAGGCTCCTACAGGTGGCTTGTGAATTTGAGCGGCGTTGGGCAGAGTTTTCTTCGTTTCCCGGGACCGGCGAGTAGGACCTAATACCTCTTCGCAGATGGTCCATTCCAACTTAATAATGTATGAAAGGCATCAGAAGCAATGGTTTACCGAAGATTTGATGATGGCATAGTCAGAGGCGGGCATGCCTTGCCTTGCCAAAGACATGTTCATGATTCCTCTGTGGAGGGTAAAGAATGCTAGCCGCCTTCCGCCTTGCAGATATGAGCCACATTTTCGATGTATCGAAATATTCAAACGGTGGTTCATGGCATGCCACTCTTGGAAGACTGACAATATCAAAGTGACAGACTGGTGGTATATCATTTGGATGCATGTGTCGGAGGTGCCAATGGAATTCCCTCCTCACTTTGCGGTGATTCGGCCAAATGTGAGGACAGCGTAGCCGCGCCAAAAGAAGGGTGGCAGATATGGAAGAGCACCTCACTGCGGACGGGTCGGATCTCCCCACTGCAACTGGGCTGGTGATCGATTGCGTAGCTAATTGTGAGGATGCTTTTCTATCGAGCGCCCCATCATGAATGTGAAGGCCCCAAAGGATACGCTCTCAACTGTTCCTGATGACTTCGCAAGACAGAGACATGAACAGTTGGTGGGCCTTGGCCCCGGCCGTCCCATCGACTGCTTTATCGACCGCGAGTATTCGGACGCATCAGGACTTCAGATAGACGGGTTTTTGTTCCCTGACCCAGAATTAGACGCTGAGTATTGGGGAGGACTTTAAGGAATACTTGGAGTTCGGTGTTTTGAAAATCCAAATCGCCGCGGGGTTGGCCGAGGGGGTCTTTGAATGCGCGCGCCGCTGTTCGCCAATGGGGTGCCCTTTCGTCCAGACATTCGCCGAAGGAGCTGCTGATTTGACGGGTGACCCGGGGGCGGAAATTCTGGGGGGGGGGGGGTCGGGAGATGCCTGGGTCGCGACCGGGGCGCAGTTCGCGCGTCAATGCATGGCGGTCGACCCCGCGCGCGACGAAGATGTTGATTCGGGGCTCGTCGTGGAAAAGGTTTGCCGAACTCCTTGATGATTTCCGGGGGGGGGGCGTCGAGCCTGAGCGGCTCGCCCGCAGGCCTCTTCGCGTGATGGGCATAATCCGAGAACGTGCGCTGGAACATGTCATGCGTGGGCGCTGCGCTATGTTCCCCTTTCGGATTTACAGCTGCTGCTGAATGGCCGAGAGCGCTGGCGGAGGTATTGCGCCGAAGATCGAGTTGACCAGTGCCCGCGACAGAAGCGGAGTTATTCGTGTGAACTCGATACTCACGGAGGAACGCTATCAGGAGTTCCGATCCGTCTGAAACAATGATTTCGGGACTGGGGCTCAGCCTCTTGAGCGAGATGCGCGCGGATCCTTGGCCGCTTCAGAATGCGATGGCAGACCTCGCCAGCCAGACCAACTTGAAGGAGCCATTGCATGGTGACTGCCTTGATCTGTGGGCTCGCTTGGTTGCCGGGTATGGACAGCAACTCTCTGCCATTGCTGTCGGCGTCCTTCTTTTATTTGCCGACGACGGGTTCCCTGATTTCGGCTTGCGCGGCGACGGGGTATCCGCAAGCCTTCCAGCGCAGAATGCTCGGACGACCGATATTGCAGTAGAAGAGTCACCAAATCCGACAATCGTTCCAAGTCCATCGGATAATCCCGCCGCCGCTGGCCTGCTGCCGACCCAATCGGAGGGGTTCCTGGGCCGGCCTTGCCGGGGCCAAGGGAAGTCGAAACCGGGGGCGTCGAAGGCGCCGACCCAGTCGCTGCTCCCGCGCCTGCTGCTTCTCATCTTCCTTCCCCTCCCGCGCCGCCGGCGCGGGGAAACCTGTCGGCGTCTCCGATGGGCGCTCTCTCCGCGACGGCGCGCGTGCGCGGCCCTGGCGGGGCCTACCAGTGGCGCTGTCGAGGCGGAGGAGCAGGGGCAGCGATGTGGAATCGAGGCCCGCCGAGGCCCCGACTCTCTCCGCAACGACGCCGCCGTGGCGTCGTCAAGTGCGAGATGGACAGAAGGCGGATCGTCAGACGTCGGGCAGTGACTCGACGCAGAACGTCTACCAGCGCGATCAGTATCTGGATCGCTGGAATCGTGGTCATCATTCTGAGGGCCCTGAGTGTGGTGGAAAATGGGTATCCAATGACGCCGAACGGACGTGACATTTGTGGTCGTCGGAGGACTGGGGCGCCGTGTGCGACAGCAGTGGAACTTGCACTGCGTGCTGTTCAAGTCGAGCACACAAAATGCCTTTGGGGCTCAGCCGCCACGGCACTTCATGCAGAAGAAGAACAGGGCGAGGTCTCTGGGCAAGGAATTCAACGCTCTTTTCGAAGCCTGGGCACTTGCATGGGGGGCACGTCGGGCCGCTCCGACCATGCCTCAGGGAGGTCTGGCGGGAGTAATTATCGGCGCGCCTGCCCTGGCGCTGTAAAAGTTTTCGGGGGTTGGTGCGGGGGGGGGGGGGGGGGCGAGGCGCCCCGGGGGGTGCCGGGAAGCCGCAGTGAACCCTAGGCTGAGATCGAAGTGTGCGGCCTACGCGGCCCGCCGCGGGGGGAGTTGTCATTGCTCTCCCCCTGCTCGCTCCCTGTGCTCGCCGCCGTCCCGCCTCCGACGCTGCCCGCAGCTGTTAAGAATTAGCTCGAGGACAGAGCCGAGAATTGCGGGCGTCCCGCGCGCTCGAAGGCAAAGGGGAGTAGGATTGTCTCGTCGTCGTCCTTTCCACCTCGCTCCGTCGCTCCTTTGTGCCAGCTTAACGGATTACTGATTACTAAGAAGTCCATTTGGTAGACCCATCATGAGCGATCATACTGATATTTCACCATCACCGTTTAATCCCTTCTTCGCTGGGAATCAGGTTTCTCTGGCGAATGACCTGCGACAGTATTTTTGTGTCGCTGCTTCGGTTTGGGCGGTGCAGCGCTGCAAAGCGCAGCGTTGTCGGAGCCTGTCGGCTGTGGTTATGGATGTGTTTCGCAACCTCGTTTCTCATGGATCGTGACGCGAACCGCGCGCGCGAGCTATCAGGGTCAGCATCGAAACAGGTGGATGCTATTTCGCGGCTGCGATGGACTTCTCCATTGCGAGGCCGCGCGCGCGCCTGCCGAGCAAAAGTACGCACTGCACTTTGCGTCGCGAGTCTGTTTGCCGCGCGTGGGGAAGCACACTTGATGGTGACCTCTGGGTTCCGTGAGTCCATATTCGATGTGGTTGCTGGGTTCCCCTGTGTTTTTTTTGCACGTGGCGTGCTTGTGCGTTTGTCGACTGCCTGTATGATTCAGCGGTCTACGGCAGTTCCCGCCACCGTGCCTGGGTTCTGGGTATGCAGCCTATTGGATGTTCGTTGGGATCTCGGGGGAGGCCTCTCAGGGGCCTCTGGACAGCTTCGAAATCGCATGGGGGCCGTTTTGGGGCCTCTTTGGGCCTCTTTTGGGCCTCTTGGGGCCTCCTGGGGGCCTCTTGGGTGCATCTTGGGTTTTCTTGGGCGCCATTGTGTCCTCCTGGAGGGTTTTGGGGCGGAAGGCTAGGATTTTCGGTTCGTGTTTCTTCTTGTGGACCCCATCCAGAGCTGTCTTGGGGCCGTGTTGGGCCGTGTTGGGCGCCTCTTGGGCCGTCTTGGGGCGCTCTTGGGCCGTCTTGGGGCCCTGTTGGAGGCCTCTTGGGCCGCTTCGAGGTCGCCTCGGAGTCCTCGCGGGCCGTCTTGGAGCGTCGGGTTGCCGCAAAGGCGAAAACGCTACAACTTTTTCAAACACATAGGGAATATAAGGATGATTTATGCCTCTTGGGGCTCTCTTGGGAGACCTCTTGGAGGCCTCTTGGTGCATTTTGGAGGCCTCTTGGGCCATCTGGAGGCCATCGAGCGATCCTTCGGCGACTTAGGGCCCTCTTTGACCATCTCGGGGGCCTCCTGGGCTGTCATGGAAGCCTTGGAGACCCCCAGGGAGGCGCCATGGCCGCCCAGGGACCCCCCAGTAATAGGGGCGATGCAGTCAGGTGGGTGTGACCGGGAGGATGGGGGGGTTCTTTTAGAAGGCTGCAGACACCCTGCCAGGCAGCTCTTGGCAGTCTTCCATGGTGGCAGATATTTTGGGTCTGGCGGTCAAGAACGCGCGCCGAGTCCAAGGCTGAGCGCAACTCCCAGCACAAATCTGCTCGGCGCCTGCGCGATAGTAACATGCAGTTTTCCCGCACGGCTCCGTCTCATATCGGCTTGGCGGCCCGAATGGATCGCGTCGCCTTCCAGCGGGAGTTCAGCTTTAAGGAGACATTTGCGCGGCGCCGACGCATTGGTGATATTTTCTGGTATCACGCGCAATCCGCGACGCGCCTCACTCTTGCCACGCATACCGCAACGCCAATGTCAAGGCGTAGTGGACCGTTGAGAGTGATGTGGCTAATGATAGCAGAGTAGGATTCTGCGGATGAGAAGGAGGATTAGGACGAGAAGGGGCTCGCACCGCACAGCGGTCAACCGACTATCGGACCCCGCTGGCTTGCTGCATTGATCCAGGCTCGAGCCGTTCCGCTTTAGGCCTGCCAGCGTGCCTGTCTTCGCACAGCCATGGCAAAATCTATCCGGTCCAAGATAAAGAAGCGACTACGCACTGCGAAGCGCCAGCGCATCGATGCGATGATCGTGGTGCCCCGCCTCAAAGAGCATCATGAGGCCTTGACCAGAGTGGCGCAGGGCCGCACGATCGAGACGAGGAAGCCAAAGAACGCCTTCAAATACCCCAAGGCGCCCGACGCAGTCTTCCCGCAGCATGAGATCATGAAGCCGATCGACTTTCGGGCTCAGAATCTGCCGATGGCGGGGTACGCCTTCCGCGGTAACCGGCGCAAGTACGACGCGGACCAGGCGGAGTTCATGACGCAGGTGGCGACCGCCATGCACCCGAAGATGGAGAGGCTGGCCGGCGGAGGCGCGGTCCTCGCGTCCACCGGCAAGAGGATCTCCGTGGCCGAGGCGGAGCTCATCGCCGCCGCCGTGCAGGGTGCGGCCGGCAGCGACCAGCTCGCGGCCGCCTCGGTGGTGGCCGCCGCCGCGGCCGAGGCCTCCGCGCCCGGCGGCGCTCCCGAGGTTCGGGGGCGTCCAAGAGGGGGGTGGACGTCGTGATCGGTAGCCGGGGCCACGATGCCTCCCCAGATTCCATGGCCCCCCCTCTTATTTTGATGCTTTTTTTTTTTTTTTTTTTTTTTTTTTTTTTTTTTTTTTTGCTGCTTGCCCTGGCCTCCCGCCTGGGCCGCGCTTCGACGCCACCCTCTTGGTCGCCCCCGGGAGGCGGCACGGCCGGCGGCTGCGCGCTCCGCACCGGAGCCCGCTCCGGAGGGCGAGGCCGACACCAGCCGCCGCCCAGTGGTGAAGGACGCCCGGCGGCAGCAGCGCGCGGCCGAGCACCGGCCGCGCCCGAAGTCTGGGGCCACCAAGAAGCGGGGCAAGCGGTCGGCCGCCGAGGCTCGGCTGCGCGTGAGAGTGACCCCTCGCCGGAGTGACCTTCGGTGCGGGCCCACAGGGGTCCCGCCAGCACCGGCTGGCGCGCTTGGATCGCGTGGACTTGGCCTCCCCCGCGGCTGCCTCGAGCCGCGCACCACAGGGCACTCTTGCCCAGGGCCACTCCTGCGTGCCGCCGAGAGGCCACCGAGGCGTACCGGGCCGCCGCCGCGACGGCGGCGGCGCCAGCGGCGCCCAAGCCGGCGGCGCCCCAGGCGGCTGCACTCCAGGAGGCCGCGGCGGCCCCTGCCCGGGGCGCCGCGGACGGCGACGCCGAGATGACGCCCGTCTCGAGCGCTGGGCAGTCGATGAAGGTGAAGAAGAAAGCGAAGAGGAAGACGAAGGCGGCCTGAGCGGTAAGCCTAGCGGCGTAGAGTGTATCACCATCGTTTTTTTCCCCTCTTCGAGCTTGTCATCATGCTGCCCCCTCCTCTGAGACTCCCTTCCCTCTCACCCCTCCGCCCGTCTGTCCGCGCCCTCGCCCCCGCCTCGCCTATGTGTACTGGGTCTGCCCGCAACAGCTCGGATTGCAGAGCTGGTCCTTGTTTTGTGTGCGGTATGCGCCGCCCACCAGCCAGCTTTTCTGGCTCCAATCTCAACCTGGGCACTGCGACCATGCTGCTCCACGGACTTGCTGTTGCGGTGGGGGCGGATCGCGCGGGCCGGCGAGGGCTGAGATTGCTGCAGAGGGGCGGCGATAAGAGTGGGTGCGCGGCGCCAGAGAGCAGAAAACAATTGCCCAGGGTCCCGTGGGAAGTCCCCAGACGGTGCAGTGACCACATCGTCGGGTGAGTCAGTGGGAATTCGGGGTGACCGCACGCTTTGGGACTGGTCATTGTCCGAGGATGTTCAACTGCGACTTGGGCCTCCATGGTCCCCAAATCCGTGCGGTGACGGACCGGGCGGTCAGGTCATTTGGGATTCCGAGGTCACCGCGCGGTCTGCCACCGCACCGTTCTGGAACCCCCAACCACGACTCCGACCAGGGTTCGCACGGGGGTTTCTCGCCTATGTATTCCACACACTCCTCACACGTTTCATTTCCACACAGGTAGCCCCATCGAAGGCCCCAATGGGTGCGCATGATGGGTTCTCGCCCATCTCGGCGCACCCCTCACACGTTTCGTGGCCCCAAAGGGAGCTCCACCGAAGGCCCCAGTGTCGGGGTTCGCACGAGGGGTCCTCGCACATTTCGGCACACCCTTCAAACGTTTCGTGGCCCCAAAAGTAGCCCCACCGAAGGCCCCACTGGCAGGGATCGCGTGAGGGGTCCTCGCTTATTCTGGCACGCCTCTCACACGTTTCGTGGCGGCCCCATAGGGAGCACCACCAGAGGTCCCAGTTGTAGGGTTCGTCTGAGGGGTCCTCGCCTATCCCGGCACACCCCTCACACGTTTCGTGACCCCATATGGGGGCCCCACCGATGGTCTCAGTGACCGAAATTTTGAAAACCATTCGCCCTCCCTCCAAGTAGCTGCTTGAAGCTTTACAGACTAAGGTTTGGCTCGCTACGGCGAGCATTTAAAGACGATGCGCTTCCACCCTTGTAGCTGTAGCTTTTTCAAGCGAATGTGCGAGGCGCGAAGACGAGAACCGCATCTTTCAAGCCACTCGCACTGAAAATTTACAGGTGTTGGGGGTCTTGAGCTCCAGGATCATTAACGGTGAGGAAGTGTCAGGCGAAATGCCCAGCTTGCCGCATTAACACGTCTGGCGTAGCGAATGGCCTTCGGCCCATCCCGCCACCGTGACTTGGCTGTGGTTCAGAGATTTCTTAAATGCATATGAGGGTCTCTTGGGACGCTTCTCGGGGGATTCTTGGAGGAGTCGTAGGGGCTTCTGGGAGGCCTCTCGGGGGCCTCTGGGGACCTCTTGGGGGCCACTTGGGCCGTCATGGGACCCTCTTGGGGCCCTCTTGGGGCGTTTTGTTGCCCTCCTGGGGGCCTCCTGGGCAGTCCTGGGGCGCTATTGGAGGCTTCTTGGGCCGTCTTGAATTGTTTAAAGCTGAAAAGGGCGAGAATGCTATTTTTCAAACCTCAGCCAAACCAACGATTTTGGTCTCTTCGGGCCCTCTTGGGGGATGAGGAATGAATTATTTGGAAGGAAAAATGAACGAGGAGGTTTCAGGAATGAGGGGGCAGAATGGAGGATGGAGGAGGAGGCGGAGGAGCGAGGAGAAGGATGGGTAGGAGAAGAAGAGGGTGAAAGGCTACCCCCTGTACCACTGTTCACTTCTCACTCGGCGGAGGCTGTCGGAGGAAGGCCCGCCGAGGCTCGCGAAAACTCGGCGGAAGCCGGCCGACGGGGAGGTTGATAAGTCAACGTCGGTTTCATCCAGGCTTCTTGCCCCCTCCCCCGTATCGGCTCAGGGGGTGGGGCTGGGGCAGACGGTGGTTGAGGAGCAGGAGGAGGAGGCGGAGGAGGAGAAACAGTGTAAACCCAAGATGCGTCAGCGATGTTGCAATGAAGCATCCCTCCAAATTCTCGCTTCACAGGCGCCTAGAGACGTTCTTTTCAATGCGGGAAGTGGCCCAACTTGAAGACAATCGTGTGAGAATCCTGAATCATACCAAAGAGCAGTTCGTTCGACTTCAACACGGCGGATCCACGTGACTGTTGCGTCCTGACAATTCTAAATCGTGCCGGAGTGCCGCGAATCAATGTGACTGCTGCGTCCTGACAATCCTAAATCGTGCCAGAAAATCACTCCTGGGACTTCGACCATACGAATCCTTGAAACTATTGTATTTGTTCGAGAAAAGTGTGCGGTGCCAAGGCGTGAGCACTTTTTGAAATAGTATAACCGCGCTCCATCCGTGAAGCTGTTGCACACTTTCGAGACGAATGTGCGCGGAGGGAAGGCGAGAGCCACCTTTTGAAGGCCACCCGCTCTCCAGCCGTGAATCTGTTGCATTTGTTTGGACGGCGACGCGAAGGCGAAAGCCACTCCATTTTGAAAAAACGACCGGCGCCCCATCCATGACATTGTTGCGAACTTTGAAGACGAGCGTTCGCGGCGCTGATGCGATAGCTGTATTCTGAAAGCCACCCGCCCTCCATCTGCGAAACTGGTGCAAACTTTTAAGACGAACTTGCGCGGCGCTAGTGCGAGAGCCACATTCTGAATAGACCCGCCCTCCATCTGTAAATCTGGTGCGCATTTCAAGCTTCATGTTCATGAGTGTCGGCGAAACGCCCGGCCCGCCCTACCGACACGTCTGGGGGTGTGACAGGGGGGGTTATCTATATGAAAGAGGGATGGAGGAAAGGAGTAGGGGGACAGGGAAGGGGAAATGTGTATGGCGGTGATGAGGCAGAGGTGATGGTCTAGGATGGGGGAGAAGAAGGACGGGGATGATGGTGACTATAGAATAATGGCGATGAGGACGAACATGAACATACTTTGACAGCCGCCATCTTCTAGTCTTGAGGTCCTCCCAGCCCCCTCGTCGGACACATCGTCATCCGTCGCGTCATCCCCTGCCCTTTGTCCCCCTGTTCCAAGTTCCCCGAGCTTCCTCCCTCCTTGTCCTGTCCACGACTACAGAATCGGAATACTATCCTCCTCTCTCCACTGACCCTGATTCAGGTTCCCCTCCGCATCCTGTTTCTGTACGCAGGATTGGGCCGAGTTGTTTGTTTCCAATGTGTTTTTGCAATGTGATTCTTTTCGGTGTCTGAGCCGTGGTGTTCCCGCTGCAGCGTGTGCCTCATTTTTGGATCGGCGCTGTGCTCCCGTCGTTCAGAACGGCGCTCTCGCCCAAGCGCGGGCCACTTCTCTGGATCCGAGTTCTTATTCATCTTTATGGCCCCCTTGGTTTCCCCTCCTCCGCCTTCCACTGATCCTCCTGCTCCCCCCACTCCTTCCACTCCAGTTCCTGCTGATGCTATTCGTCGTTGTCCTCCTCCTTCCTCGTCCTCCTTTTCCTCCTGCTCATCCTTCTGCTCACTCGACTCTCCCTCCTATGTACGCAGCTCTCCCTTTCCGATTGCGCATGACACGATGTTGTCTTTTCTGGAGTTGCAGGTCGGCTATGACAGCGTAATGGGAAGGGATGGGAGGGATGGATCGGATGTCAGATATGGCGCTCGCGCACCTAGCTTGTCCTACACCCTCTCTTCACCCTCCCCCGCCGAGCTCGCTGGGCTCGAGACAGGATACCTGGCACGGCCTGCCGCGAGCAGACGTGAGCGATGCAGAACGACGAGGGCAGAATTGTTGACCTTTACATTCCGCGGAAGTGCTCCGCGACAAACCGCCTCATCCCCGCGAAGGAGCCTCGGCCTTGGAGGAGGGAGGAGGCAGGAGGTGGCGGAGTAGGAGGATGGAGGAGGAGGGGGAGGAGCGGAGGAGGAGGAGAGGGAGGAGGAGGAGGAGGAGGAGGAGGAGGAGGATGACCAGTGTAAGCCCAAGAGTCACCAACGATGTTGGAATACACCCTCACCCCAAGCTCCCTCTTCATAGGACCCTACAACGGTTCATTTCAACAGAGGGACCTGCCTCGTTGGAAGACAACCGTTTGAAGACCCTGAAGCATGCCAAACCAGTCTTCTCTGTATTCCAACGCCACGGATGAGCCTGACTGTTGCGTCTTGACGATCCTGAATCGTGCCCGAACGCCATTTCTGGGACCTCAACTCCGCGAATCATCGTAACTCTGGCGCCCTCAAAATCGTAAACCCGTCCAAAGCACCATTTCTGGTACGTCGACCATGGGATTCCGTGAAACTCTTGCAATTTTAAACAAGAGTGTGCGCGGCGCTAAGGCGAGAGCCACATATTGAAATAATATAACCACGCTCCATCCGTGAAGCTCTTGCAGTTCTTGAGAACGAATGCGCGCGGCGCTAAGGCGAGAGCCACATTTTGAAAACGACCCGCCCTCAATCCGTGAAGCTCTTGCAATTCTTGACAACGAATGTGCGCGGCGCTAACGCGAGAGCCACATTTTGAAAACCTCCAGCCCTCAACCCGTGAAACTCTTGCAATTTTTGAAAACGAATGTGCGTGGCGCTAAGGCGAGAGCCACATTTTGAAAACCACCCGCCCTCAATCCGTAAAGCTCTCCCAGATTTGAATACGGCGAGAGCCACATTTTGAAAACCACCCGCCCTCAATTTGTGAAACTGTTGCAGATTTTCAAGCTTCAGGGTCATGAGTGGTGCTGAATTCAGGCGAAACGCACGGCCCGCTCAACAAACTGGCCTCGGGGCGTGACATGGAGAAGTTTTTTTAACAAGGGGACGGAATGGAGCAGGAGGAGGGGGATGAGGGATGAGGAGGAGGAGGAGGGAGGAGGAGGAGGATGATGCTGATGATGAGGAGGAGAAGGATACTGACGATGCTGATGATGATGTTGCTGATGATGCTGATGATGATGAGGAGGAGGATGCTGATGATGATGATGATAGTGCTGGTGATAATGACGATGCTGCTGATGATGATGTTGATGCTGATGTTGACAACGATGATGATACTGCTGCTGATGTTGATGATGCTGTTGCTGATTATGATGATGCTGCCGACTCTTTTTATCATGATGCTGATGATGATGTTGATGATGCTGACGACGTTCTGCTGATGCTGTTGATGCTGGTGATGCTTACGGTGCTGATGATGCTGCTGCTGATGCTGATGATGATGCTGATGATGCTGCTGATGATGTGATGATGTTGCTGATGCCGATACTGCCGATGCTGACGATGATAATGATACTTCTGATAATGACAAGTATGATGATGTTGATGATGGTAATGACGA